TATAAGAATCCGCGAGGAGTAAGCACGAAATGTCACCAAGTCTGTCCCTGTTTTCGGAGAAGTTTGGAAATCGACTGTATTTAAAGGCGCATTGTGTAACTTTTCTGGCGGGGGGTCAGTCAGATGCTTTTCTCCGTGAAGATGTTATTGCTTCATCTGGAATGTTTCGCAGTATGGTGTTAAACCTTTCTATCTTCATGGAGATCAAACCAGACCAAGTTACAGGTCAGATCTGTGGAGAGGCGACCCCGCTCACAGTCAGAATGCCTTTTGCGTTTGTGTTTTGTGCGTTGTGCTTTTTTATTTTTGAGCTATAAAATCAAATATAATTGAATAAATGTAAGGTAGAGCAGTTTAAAGTCATACTGTGGGACATTCCCAGGCAGAGCTTTGACATATCCATGGAAACAAGCAGTTGACGGACCACTAACAAAAAAGTTACCCTGTGCTCCGCTTATGCAAATGTTTGATCTTTCTGACAATGTTATTTCTTCATCAAAACATACCTGAAGTTGTCTATTGTGTTTTACTCACACATGTTTACTGTACTGTGGTCCAGAGCAAGAAAAATATCTGGTGTAGGCTTTTTTTTTTTGCCAAAACGTTATTTAAAAAATAAATAAATAAATAAACTTTTGGACATTGGCCATCTGACTGTGCTATGCATTTTTTCACTTTTATCTTGCTGCTCCTTGTATTTGCACCTCTACAAGAAGTTTTTACTCACACATGTTTAACACACATATCCTGCATATTGAGTTCTTCTCTCAAACTGGAAACACTATTCCACCTTGTGATGTCATTAAGCAGTGACACAGGAAATGCTCCACTGTGTTTTTAAAGTCCATACATCTTCACTAGAATAACTTGAATAAGGCAACCCTGGATCTGACGTTTTTTTAAGCTACATCTATAGTTTGAGCCTTCATGCTGTGCACCAGAAGATATGAAAGACTTTTCTGTAGCAGTCTCAACTTAACAAAGTGTGAAACTAAAATATGTTTGTTTTTATTTTTTTTATATATATATATATATATATTATATATATATATATATATATATATATATATATATATATATATATATATATATATATATATATATATATATATATAGCCAACAACATATGGTTGTTCTAGTGTAATGCAGAGTAAATCAGCTTAATTGAGACTAAAACATAGCTGACTACCACTTGATGATATCACAACGTAGGACAGAGCGTTTTGAGTCCCGTTTTGCTTAAAGACGTGTGAATCAAACAAAACACAATTCCAGGTATGTTTTTAATGAGGTAATAACATTCTAACATGGCTAAAAGCTCACAAGAGTCAATTTTGCATACTATAAGTTCTTCTAAAAAGTTTAATGCATCAACTTAATATATATATTGTATATTGTGTGAACTAAGGAAATGTAGAAATGGGCAAAAAAAATCAAGCTCCATAGAAGTCATTTCAGCCATCTTTTTTTTTTTTTTTAGCAATGTCACCTTTCTAATCTATCCATTGCTCATTTTATTACTTAGTTCATTTTACTAAACCACTATTCATGTTATAACAATAGGGATATTTTATTGTAATTAATTTCTGGTTGAGGGTCTGTCCCTACTTGTTTCTATGGATATGTCATTGCTCTGCCTGGAATGTTCCACAGTGTGACATTAAACTGCTCTACCTCGCATTTATTCAATTACATTTGGTTTTAGAGCTCAGAAATACCTAGAAAAACTGGTATTCTGAGCGTGAGTGGGGTCACCTCTCCACAGATCTGACTTGTAACTTGATCTGGTTTGATTTCCATGAGGATATGAAGGTTTAATACCATACGTGAAACATTCCAGACAAAACAATGGAGAAAAGCAAGTAAACACTTGATAATAACTACACTTTTAATAGCCTAAACAAATATTAAAAGATAAATCTGAATTATCTTACACTTGAAAAACTTCAATATCTCATATTTGCTCACAGATAAATTCCCAATATTACTTGCAATACTATTTTGACTCACACAACAAAACACTGCACATAAATGTTTTGAAAAGTGTCAGTTGTATTTGGGTGTGTTCAAAGACAGACCACAAAGCCTTACCTATCTCTGCAGATACAAAAGTCGTCTATTGAACAGGAAGTTGCATCACCGCATCGCAGCTTCTTCCTGTCCTATCTACTGCTCCATGTCCCTGCTTTAATTGTTGTTTTGTTTCTTGACAGATAAGGTTCTCTGAAAAGGCTTTGAAACACTTTTATCTTGAAGGACTCCAAGTGTTTTTCATTCATAGTGATACATTGTAAGGTGCTCACAATAGAACCTAGACATTAATCAATACAAGAAACAGGTATTAAGAAAACGGGAACATTTAAAATAATCTTGAAATATTACAGAACTAGTATCAGATTATGTGGTAATGTTATTGAAACAGTTTTTTAAATGATTATTATAGTGGTATTAAAATCTGTACTGAATATTGAGCTTTAGGCCTGTTTCTTAGTGTCAAAATAACTTGACCTTGACATTTTTGTTGCGATAATCTGGTAAAAAATGAGATACTAATTGATACTAAAACTAGTATCGAATCTAGATACTCATTTGAGCAGGTATCGATACTATAAAAAGTCACTTTCAACGCACAAATGAACCTTTCTTGAATAGTTTTAGAATGATTTTAAGCTGTATCAGAACAAGGCCACGTGGTAAAATAAAAGAAAGTACTATGATTTAATATTGAAAATCACATTCTATTGTCTAATCATGTGGTACTGGAATCGGTATTGAGTACTGAGTTACTTTTTTAGTATCAAAATCAAGTGTTAGTATCGTGACAACACTAACCTGAGGTTACAATGTCAATGTGATTCGTTTCCTTAGAATTATAAGGTCCTCTTTGAAGATTTTGTCAAAATTTTGTTAATCATGCATTCTTGTTTCTGAATACATACTGTAATTTCTCCAGAGAGCAAAAAACCCGCAAGTGCTCAGAACGTTTAAGGCAAGGCAAGGCAAGTTTATTTGTAGAGCACAATTCGTACACAAAGTAATTCAAAGTGTTTTACAGAATAAGAAATACATTAAAATCACAATAAAAACAAATCAGAACATAAATATCATCATAAAGTTAAACATTAAAATAAAAGAGAGAGAGAGAGAGACATTAATTACATAAATTAGAGAGAAGAGCGCAGAATGAAAATCATATATCTTAATTCTAATGAGGACAACAGGCCCTATTGTACTACACCCAGATCATTTATTGAACAGGAAGTTGCATCACCGCGTCAGCCCTTCTTCCTGCGACCTATCAGCTGACTCCTTTCACCGGCTCCGACCACAACGGCCGCTGTCTGCACGTTTACGAGTCCTCCACCCTGAGATTCACACCAGAGACTGTAGTTTCAGACTTAAGAAATGACAAAGCTTTAGTTAGGTAAAGTACAGTTGAAGAATGGGAGGAATTATAACACCTCATAAATGAACCGTGAAAAGTAATGAGTAATAGATAAAAATGTGAGATTGTGAAAGTCTCACGATGTTGTTGAGCGCTGTGCAATTTGCAATTAATCAAATTTTAATCAAGATTAGGGTTAGTATTTCCTGAATAGCTTTAGAACGATCTTGAGGTGTATCAAAACAAGTATAACAGCACATAGTTTGGCACACTCCCATGGAACACATATACATTGAGCTAATTCTACATGGTAATATAAAAGAAAGTACTATTATTTAATGCTGACATAAAGAATAAATAAAATAACAGATATCAGAAACGGTATTGAGTATTGAGTGTATTCGTTAGTATTGAAATTGAGTCTGCATTCAAGTTATAGACTCACTAATCGTCAATTGGGTCTTTTCTGTTCTTAATTTGGAGCAAGACGTTTTGTAAAATGACAATTATAAAAAAGTCTGTATTGTTTACAGTCATAGAATTATAACAGAAAGACATTTTATTTGTGTTTAATAAGACAAAATAGAAATCAAATTGAAATTGATGATATGAAGGAAAAAAATCATGATTTTTTTTGTCATATTGCTCAGCCATACTGTTGTTTTTTTATGGTAATGATACAACATGTAAAACCTAAAGCAACTATATAAAAATACACATTTAAATGGAGAAGTTTTGCCATGATACTGAAATTTTAGTCTCAGTTTCAATACTAAGGAATAGACTTTTCTGATACCGATTCCTGTACCACAATGATAATAAAAACACAATTTGCTTAGACAATAGAGTTTTGATTTTAACATAATTGTTCTAAGATCATTCTAAAGCTGTTCAGGAAAGGTTCATTTCTGTCCCGTGACTCTTTTTAGTATCAATACTTGCATAAATGGGTATCTAGTTTTAGTATCGATTAGTATCAGATTTTTGATATTTTTGACAACCATAAAATGAAGAGAAATACTTCAAAAACTGCATGAAATAAAATGATTCAAATCTGGATTGTCAGTCTTAATGGAACTTTGTAGTGCGTCTACTTATGACTCATTTGTAGCATTTGTAACTTAAGGTTAAATTTAAGTTCTCTATTTGCATTGTGTTGTGTCTGTTAAACTGCAATGAACCTTTGTGCCAGTTAGAAATAGCTACATTTGACATTGTGACGCACACTCATATGATTTCCTTGTATCTTTCTTGTTCATAGATTGAGGAAGTAATGCCATGCAATCCTCAGTTGCATTGTCCCTGCATTTCCATAACATTTAGGCTGAACTTTAATTACTTTTTCAGACTAAAGAAAGTACATCTGTGGAAATAGTTCAGATAGAAATGTAAGAGGTTTACCTTTGAACGTGATCGAAGGGAAAGGAGAGAGTGTCTGTGCTAATTGACTGTCACTATCCTTATCTATTATGTAGGCAATAAATGTATTTCATGCGAATGCCTTTATCTGCTCTGCTTCAGAATCTTCAAATAGATGATTTTATCGAAGAGTGTGTGTTTTTTTTTTACTAAATTGTGAAACTAACCCTGTATTTTTGGTGTTGTTCCTCTTCAGATCTCCATGACGACCTCCAGCGTGTGGTCCAGGAGCGTCTGTCCGAGCTGCTCCGTGTCCTGAAGGCCGTCATCGGGAAACACCAGACCCTCAACTCCGTGGATATCCTCGGAGCGGCCGGCACCGTCATCGCCAAGGTCAAAGGTCAGTGGAACGAACACACCCCAGAACTGGAACACCTTTTTGATACGGTTGCACAATTCAGCTGATCCAATCTGTTATGGATTTTTATCAATGAGTCAATCAAACAAACAGTATTTATAAAGCATTTGTCATATTTGTCATATGTAGAATTAAAACAATTTTGACCTCAAGAGCTATGCATCATATCTACATCAGCGAAACTGCCCAAACACACACAGGTCTTTTAAATTGGACCTATTATGCAAAATCAACGTTTCATGTTATAGTTCTCAAGGTTGTATTTATGTTTTAAGTAATCTTTATACTCCTGTGTCCAAGATGTCATAGCTCTGATCAACCCCGTGTTGGGTTGCATAGCCATTTTGGTACAAATGTGGGGAAAAAAGCGCATCTCGGAGCATGATGTGTGGTTATTAGGGGTGTAACGTTACATGTATTCGTGCCAAATATGTACGTTTCTGTACGGGACGTTTGGTTCAGTGTAGGGCAGTGCATGAGTGAATTTGTGCAATTTGTGTGTGTTTACATTTCGCCACTACATGTGCAGCGTCACGGAAGACTTGGCTCTTTAATATTCATGAGGGAACTTGTCCGTGATTAGGGTGACTGTGTTTCCTGCCACACTTTATAGTTAGGGTGGCCGCCTTAACAACAATTGCAACACCGCGTTGATTGCGTCCCTCTGAACCAACCACGTGAATCCTCGCAAAACTATGTTCGTCACGCCCCGGCCCTCACTTTCGCCTTCTGCGGGTGTGACCCTGAGGTCAGAATCCTATTATGGTATGTTGACCCACCCTATAGAATATTGACCACCCTATGGAAATCTATATTTTATTAATAAAGAACTTGAATTCTATAGAGAAACTTTGAATATTAATACTATATCTGCAAATTAAAACATATTGACATATTTAAAAGTGTTTTTTTGAAGAACTCAGGTGCTCAGATTTTTATGTCGATTATAACTTTTGAATGTTTACTTAGTTGTTTAAACATATTTTACCAAAAATGAGATAAGTAGTTATTAATTAGTTAGGTCATCAAAGTGATGTATAATGATTTGGAATCTTGTTAAAATAGACAGACACAAAATAGACCATTGCATAAATTGACATTATGATTAAGGATTATCTGAACATAACAAACTAAAAACATAACAATGTAAAATACAATATAAAAAGTGATAAAATTGCTATGTATATGCAATTTTAACAATACGTTACATTTACACAAAATACCAAGTCGTTATCCATCAAAATATTCCTTAAAATACCTACATAGTGAATATGTAGTAATATATAATAAAAGTAAATTACTTGAGAAATAATGATCGTATAAGTAACTACTAAAGAAAAACGTTAAGGGAGTCAAAATCCTATGGGGGGGGCACTTTACTATAGCGGTATGTTGATCCCGGGGTCAGTATACTATGGGGGTCAAAATACTATCTCACACCGGGACAGAATCTCATACATTTATTGTTTATTTGAGAATAGTTTATTTAACTTATTACCAAGCAACTATTTGCATTTATTTTATTTTCATTTTTGTATAATGTTAAAACAAATTGTTGGTTTAATAAACACAAATAAACAACAAGCAAATGGTTTAACATTTTGTTCCCATACTGTACTGAAAATGAACCGAACCATGACCTCAAAACTGTGTACCGTTACATTCCTAGTAGCTATCCATCAGAGGGGCCGACAGCTACACGGCACTTTGTTGTGATGACATTTATGGCGACATCAGCTCCCACTGGGCACCTCAGGATTCTAAAGCGGAAGCCATTTTAGATGAGCATTGCCATATAAAATGTCCAAATGGTAACAAAAAGAGTGTCATAGATTATAACTATATAGCAGACACAAGCACAGTATGTCGTCTTTAATACTCACTCACATGATTTTCATTTTAGGCTCTGTAAGATAAGAAAGAACTGTACACTCTTACAATAAAAGCAATATTTTATTTCTTGGGATATATCTGTAAACACAACAAAGCAACACTTGCAGCATTTGTAGAACAAGAATTACAAGTCTGTTTGTGTCTCACCCAGATGTGGCCTATTTATATTGGCACTAAATCTGACTATAACTTATGAAGCTGTGTGAGAACCAGCCTCTAGCTATATTTTATTGATCCAGGTAGGAAATTCTTCTTACGGTGTATTCCCAATTGCATTCTTATCCTGCATGGCTATATAAGAACTGAAGTACAGAGTGATATAATGGTAAAGCGCCTTGACCTGAATCCAGACAAGAAACAGGACATAAATGCAGAAAAGAGAGGCGGAAATAAAAATAGTTGGTGGCTTTACATTAAATGGTTTGCAGTGGATGAGAAAATATATGAGGCCAGGACATTGTTATGAAATATAAAATTAAAAAACATAATATATATACGGAAAGGACAAGATCTTATGCCATAAGATCTTGCAAAATCAAATTACACAAGATTGCGAAAAACATACCTGAAGAGGCCGTAGACGTCATCCATGCAGGTTTGAATAATTTTGAGATCTCTCCTGGGCCCTATTCAAACCCTCCTTACTTTTAGTAGTACATTTTTATCTAAACTCAGCCCGATACATAAATATACTTAAGTATGATACAAAACTGTACGCTACAACTTCACAAACCTGATTGCAGTAGTTTAATTAATTCATTCATTAATTGTTTATAATGCGACAGGGCTCGGAAGGGAGAGTGACTTAGTGTGGAGAGCAAAACAAAACTAAAATTTATTAAACATGTTAATACGTTGTTTTCAGCAAATATGGCATTTTCAGAGCAATAAAAAATAACTTGTTGATAAATATGTTGTAGGGATGTAGCAATATCCAAATTATTGTGATATTGTATCATCAAAAGGCTCAAAATAATATCGTGGACCATCACAATATATCGAATCTCAAGTGTCTGTGCTTAAATTCATTGTTGTGGTGTTGCAATAGCTAAAAGAAACAGAGGGAACTACATAGACCATGATTCTTTGCTGTGTTTCAGTCCAGTTTACACAATTAAATAACTTATTAAAATCTGAACTCTTTGGTTTACAGCAGAACCAAAGGCTTGTCAAGGCATTTTTAAAGGAAAAAGTAGTATATTCACAATGTTGTTAGCCTCTACCAAATATTAAAATATCATATCGTATCGTGAGATGCGTATCGTGAAAATGTCATACCGAAATTGGGATATTGTTACATCCCTAATATGTATAGAAGTGTAATACCCCCACTTTAACATTTTATTTCCAAAAGGAGTGCTAAAGTGACAGGAGTATTCAGTATACAAAAAGTATTCAACAAAAAAGTAAAAATTTAAAATGTGGAGTGAGCTATACAGTTTATTTAAAGGTGTCATTGTGCAACTTTTCTGTAGGAGGGTCCTAGACAAAGCAATAACATCTCCACGAAGACCAGCTGGTGACCGACCCTGCACCAGAAAAGTTGCGCAATGCCCCTTTAAATCTCAACTCGTCTCGTTCTCATGGTCCCAGTCTTGAGTCTAGTCTCGTCTGCAGCACTTAGTAACCAACAAAACACATTCTCACAACCTCTGGAATAAACAAAAAGTAATCTCACAAGTTCATCTGCTGGAAACGCGAGCCGTGGCAGAACTGAATCCTCTTCTCGACTTGCACACAAGAATTTGAAGAGCGGAGGCTACATACATGGGCCATAATTTACATTCCACGCTGCAGCCACAAAGGAGGCCCCAGCATCTACGGAGAGAGGAAGGAACGAGAAACATTGGCACACAAAATAATTCATATTTTCAACAGATTTCTTCATGCTTCACTCGGACCATTCGTATGCCAAAGTTGTCAACTCCGCACGAGCGACATCTTCACCTTTACTGCGGCGGAGGCTGTGCGAATGAAAAGAATGTATAGAGGATACAGTCGATGCTTTGCGGTGGCGTTGCATGTATATCTTATTGCGGATGTTCAGCAGTTACCATGGAGACAGCCCGATAAGTTCTTCAATGGTCTGAAAACTCAAGAACACATTTTCAGTTTGGTGTTAGGTGTTTGCGGTCAGGTTGTGTTCAAATAAAGCTCATTTTAAAGGTGCGCTTTGTAACTTTTCGGGTTGGGGCTCTGTCACCTGCTTGTTTCTAATGGATATGTCGTTGCTCTGCTTCAAAAGTTCCACCATATGCAAGGGCGTAGTTTTGCATAGGGACAGTGGGGACATGTCACAACCAATATTTGGGGAAGACAAAATAGTCCCCTACCAATATTTGCCATTTTATTTTAGTAAACAAAAATATACATTTATTCCAATATTTTTCCAAACTCAATAGTATTAATTTAACACGTTTTAGTTCACATTTTGTTTGTTAGACGTTCTGAGATGTGTTCTTACTTGGCTTCATCTTCAATTAAACTTGCCTTATAATGAGTCGATGCAGAAAAAGAGCGACTATCACCACAAGTACACCTCCCAAACGGAGAAAATTGCTTGGATATTACCTCACAAATATCTCATCACCAATAAGCAAAGGGACATTTTCTTCAAACTCTACATCGTTGTTATCCGGTAAAGAATCATCCCAGAAGGACAATGGACACAAACTGTACATTTTGCGAACTGAAAAATGAAACCACCTCTCACTTATTTTGGACCTGCCCAGACTCTGTGTGTTTTTGGAATGAATTCATAAAACTTACGCAGCTTCTTATCCTATTTTACCCTTTTTTTTTTTTTATAAAGATGTGCTGTTTGGTTTTTACAGTAGCATCCATGAAGACTGAAACTGTTTAATGCCATACTATGAAACATTCCAGACAACATAACATCTCCACAGAGACATACCCTCCACTAAAAAGTCACACAATGCAGCTTAAAAGTCTAACTTGGGTAACAGAGCTTCAGACAGAGCAGTGCCTACAGTTTTCATCACACCCAAAGGGAACATGTTAATAGTAAAGTTCAATATTGTTCTAAGCTGGTAAGTAGACGGTGATAAGATATGCAGACAAGTACAGGC